ATCCATTTTGAATTCCGGATCCCGAAACCGGAACTTTTTCTTAGTTCCGGGCGGAAACCGGAACCAAAAACGCCGGAATTTACCGAAACCGGAACCTGACTTTCTGTGGAACTCTAAATGTTACCTTAATCGACTGTTATCATGGATTTAGGAACACCCTTGTTAATTTTATCTCCATCCTATGAGTAGCTCGAAGTTTAGTTTCACTCCACTAATGTTCCTTTCACCCTAGGCATGGTGTGAAGGAACACCTATTAACTCCTCTAACCTATTAACTCCTCTAACGTTCCAGTTACTAATGTTCCCTTCACCCTATGTATAGTGTGAAAGGAACACCGATTACTTCCGATAACGTTCCTTTCGTCCTATGGGTAGTACGATGGTAACATTGGATCATGTCCTTGAGTTATTTTAAAGACTCAAGTCTTTACGACGAAATTATGTTGCCAAAATGATTTATTAAGCATTTAAGTATATGTTTTTAAACCCAGTTAAGCCAATAAAAAATATTAAAATGTATTTTTTATTTTATTAGCTTTAACCTTTTAGAATTGCTTTTACTTGCAAACAACTATTAAATAATTTATTACGCACTTTTGTTTACATACTTTTAATAAAATAAAAATATTTGGCATTGATGAAATTGTGTTAAAATAATAAATTAGTTTATTTTGTTTATGTTAAGTTTGTCTTACAATTTCCGGTTGCTAGCAATCTTCATATATCCAGGGCCGGAACTCTTATCCGAACCAAAATTTCCGGTTATTCGGACCAAGTACTTGAGTAATAGAACACCGAGCTGAGGGTTAATCTCAGTTCTGGGTTGATTATTCAAAGAAAATCAAACCAGACTCTATGCTTACCCGCAGCTGCGGGTTCTATTACTCGAGTAACTAACCATAGCTATGGGTTACCCTTATCCTCATTTATGAATAAGGGTTCTGGGTTAACCTACCCGCAGTTGAGAGTTGGTTAACCCCTTTCTAGTTCTCTGAATACTGCCCCAGAGGTCGATCACCGCCCCAGAGGTCGATCACCGCCCCAGAGGTCGATCGGAATTCCGATTTACGACTTGCGACTTTTCCTTCCAATTTTCGAAAATTTGAGCAGATTTCCAAATTCCGAGTTCCGACTTTTGAGCTATTTCCAACAGTTCCGGTTTCCGGCACCTTCGTCATTTCCTATTATTGTATTTATGTTCATGCTGTGGAAAAATTGTGGATGGGAGATGGAATTGAACCATCACGGAATGAGCCCAGACCGAAGCACAACCGACTGTGCCACCATCCAAATCAATGCTGGGTTATTTATTTTCATTTATGTTCTTTCTGCAAGTACGGACACAACACCTATCTACCTCTAGTCTACATAATATAAATTATTATTGGACCACATATCCATTAAATGCACTCAAAGCCCTCTTAAACGTTACTTCCGGCTATTAAGCATTAAAACGATTATAATTCAATTTTTATATATTTTTAGAAAATTTAATTAAATAAAAAAAAATAATTTTAAAGGGAATAAACAAGGCTGGTATATGACGACTTTAAATAGTCCATAAAACTTCTAAAAATAGGCAAAAATAAGGGGAAAATATAAAAAAACAGTGGGTGGCACGTTTAAAAGTACAAAATAACTCTGAAGGGCTTGGCTATTTAATTATGCATTTTTAGAACATTTTTAGAAAAATTAGAGGAAATAATGCATTTTTGAGTATTTATTTGGGTAAAATTTGGGAGGGAATTTGGAAGAAAATTTTTTGCAAGTGCCATCGTTGTTATGAAAAGCCGTAAAATGGATGTTCCCTTCGCATTACCTATAGTGTGAAGAGGTAGGCGAACTGGCACCCCCTGCCTGTTGTATTGTGTGTCATTAAAGGTGTGTAACCAATGGTATGAAATTGAGAAATTTGACTCCAGCCGTTTACGAGGCTGGAGTCGAGATCCATTCTGCTATGTTCCCTTATCACTACTTATAGTGTGAAGAGAACATCAAAATTTTGTGAAGCTTAAATTAGAATAAAACTTAAGGATCTGAAGAAAGTGGGGAATAATTTACTAATTAATTTGTAAGTCAGAAATCTACTCCTAAATCCTACCAAAATTAGACAGAACCAAAATTTCAACTCGCGATGGATACCCCGGAACGTTCCAAAATTAGTGCTCTCCCGGATCGGGTCATTTTGAAATCTCAACTTCGGCCGGATTTGACTCTAGAACTGGTTTTTGGAGCCGTATCCAGCACTGGATTTAAACTCAAATGTTCCGTTCGTTCTAGGTGCTGTGTGGAGGGAACATGTGTAGCATGAAGGGAACATTTTAACTCTGATGTTCCGTTCGTGCTAGGTGTAGTGTGAAGGGAACATATGAAGGGTGTTCTAGTTGTAGTGCGAAGGGAACGTGTGAAGGGTGTTCTAGGTGTAGTGCGAAGGGAACATATGAAGGGTGTTCTAGGTGTAGTGCGAAGGGAACATGTGAAGGGAGTGCCAAAGATTACCATCTAGTAGTAATAACTGGCAGAAGTAGTGTGCCTTAATTAATGCCAGCCTGAGGCTAAACCTTTACTTACTATTATTTTCTTAATTAGAATTTTTATTTAAAAAATCGAGAATTTTAATTTACGGCATTTTAGACTACCTCGACTGCCTCAAACGTAAAATCCTCCTAGTCACTTTTCCCTTATAAAATTGGATTTTTTAGCAAAATTTAGCTTAAAAAGGAAATAAAAAGGGCATTAAAAAATAAAAATAAAACAAGGCAATCTTTTTTCGTGTTTTCTGCTAGCTAAAACAATTTTACAAATTTTCTACGCAAAAATAAATTTTGGCAATTTTTAGCGTCATTTTAGGGGAAGAAAATAAAATTTATACCTAAATTTAGTAAAAATCCCCCCTATCCTGCTAACATTATTTTTGTTTTTGAAGGAAACAAAGTCAATTCTAACTGGATTTGTAAAGATTTTGAGGGGAATTTTGAGGCAGCTTTTGTGGCAATTTTGTGGAAAAATAGTGCAAAAATAAGTGGGGGATATGTGGGGGAGTGACGTTTGAAAAATGATGTATCATCCCTTATCTAAAAGTGTACACCCTTGGGTTAATTGTAGCTTATATAATCGTATAATAAGGGTTGTCTTGATGTCCCATTTGCTCTAGGTGTAGTGCAAAGGGAACAACCTTGTTCAAGGGGGTGTACCATCTAGTGCGGGTTATGTGGGGGCAATGACGTCTTAAAGTAATATCTCGTTCATTAACCTGTCTATAAGCAATTGTCGCTTATAAAGAGGGGTCTTATACTGAGGTATCTTAGAATGAAAGGTTTTATAATAGGAGTATCTTCAATGAGGGTATTTTAAAATGAATGGGTCTTATAGTGAGGGATCCGATAATGAGATGTCTTAATGTTCCGTTTGCTCTACTGTAGTGTAAAGGGAACAACAATGGTACAATCTAGTATGTGTGTACCATTAGTGTGAAATATGTGGGGGAGTGACGTGATTATAGTAACATCTCATCCCTCATTTATTTTATAAAGTTGGGCCTCTCTATAAGGCACACCCTTGGCGTAATTGTATTTTAAAATTGGGGTGTCTTATAATGGGGTTTTTTAAAATGAGAGGGTCTTATAATGAATTATCCTGTTGAGGTTATCTTATAATAAAGGGGACTAATAATGAGTTATCATAAAATGAGAATGTCTTATAATCAGGAGTCTTCTAAGGAGGGGGCAATGTTCCGTTCGCTCTAGGTGTAGTGTGAAGGGAACATTACCCAATGGCTAACGAGTTGAATATAGTATTAGGTGTAGCATGTGAGTCTTATAGCGAAGTTCGACTGTGTTTCAGCTTTCCACTTATCCCACAAAAACAGAGAAAAAATCTCTGTTATTATACTGGGACTATTAAGCTAATGTTCCCTTCACCCTAAGCGTAGGTCGAAAGGGTGGTCATAATATGCCTATTATTGAATCTCTGTCATTATGTCCCTTTCGACCTACTCGTAGGAATAAGGGAACATTAGAACCTGGGTTTGCCAAAATTATGATAACCTTAGTTATCCCTAGCCTACGCTCCCAGATACCCCTATGTCTTTATCCCTGATATATCCATGCGGTTCTAAAATTAACCAAAAGATTAATATAAAAAATAAATTTTATTCAAAAAAATTTGGCAAAAATAGAAAGTCAATTTATTAGTAATTAAATGAATAATATTAAAAAAAAGTTGGGTGTGTTTATTTAAATAATTATTTTAAAAAATGTTGGGGGAGGTGTTGGCATTTATTAATATTAAAAAGGCGTTGGCGCTTAATTAAATTTTTTCTGTTAATTTTCTAAAAATAATTTTTATTCTCCTTGACATAAAAAAGAGAATTTTTCAGAAAAATTAAGACTAAACGCCAAAAGAGCCGAACATTATCGAGTTAAAATTAAAGCCGAACATGGTTATAATGGCCCTCGATTTTAGAAAAATGCCTGTTCCTAATAAGAGGATAACTGGAGCTTGAAGCCCCCTCGCTAGTGCTGTGTTTGGACATTTGCTGGTACAACCTTTTCAAATTCTCAGGCTCCGGAGCTGAGGTGGGTCGGAACAGTCAGAGGTGTCGGAAATCGGGAGTAGGAAATCGGAATTCTGACCCACCTCTAGTACACAGCACTGCCCCTCACTCTATACGCATATACATAGATCAAGGATGAGTAGTGGGTCGTGTTACCCGAAACCCGGTCCTAAGAGTAGAAACCCGGTCTTCATTTCGATAGGGCATCCAAAACCTTACGAATCAGGATCCGAAGAAAAGATACTTATATATATACTATACTATAATATACTATGTAAAAATACTATGCTATATATAGTGAAGGGAACATTTTTAGAATCTAGCTTATGTCCCCTTCGCCCTATACATAGTGTGAAGGGAACATTTTAGGACTCCCCCTCTAAATATTTTTATACTTATCAAAGTGCCATCATAACCATGCTTGATCGTGTCAATAAGGGGATGTGTAAATTTGGGATTATAATTAATCATAAATTTGGGAATATTAGAGTCTCAATTAGAAAATAATCACGCGGAGAGTAAAGTAGAAGATTTTGAAGAAAACATTGTGTTAATACTGTTGGTTCTGGTAGAAGCATTTATAGATAACTTCTGCTCCTTTCCAGTCAAGTGAATATTCCCCCCACCACCCTCATTTTGGGAAGCTAACGGCCTTCTCCAACGAACCATATTAGACGTATCCGAAGGGGATTGTCTTCCTTCTTCATCTCTACAACGCATGGCGATTGCTGTACTTCCTCCGCTGCTTTGTCGGCGAAGGGGGGTGTGTGTCTTGGGTTCTGTGAAAATTGGAAAAAGTTAGAAAGATTGAGAAGAGCTTCTAAGTCTGTTTTACTAAGAACTCTCTGTTCATCAAATAAACGATACTCTAGAACTATGGATTCTAAATTAAATGAAGATAGTTGCCTTAAAATAGCGATAGGGTTGGTGGATTCTACGGAAATGACCGGAGATCTAACTGGATTTTTTTTCGGACAGCCAACCATACTAATTAGAATTTGGGGTTTTCGAGTCGAGCCGACGTACAAGTCATTTTTATCGGGCCGCCCGATAGAGTCTTTTTCGGGCCAAAATTCGATGTCGGACCACAACCCTAATAATAATATAGGAGCTAGTGTGGAAGGAAATTAAAAAGATTTTTTTGATTTATGTTCCTTTCGCATTACATATAATGCGAAGGGAACATCAGAAATATGTATGGAACACTAGAAATTTATAATCTTCCCTACGTGGATGATTCGGATTTTAGAGTGGGAGAAAACCAAATCTTTTATTTTTAATTTGTGTTCCCTTCGCATCACACATAGTGTGAAGGGAACATCAAAAATATGTATGGAACACCAGAATTTATTATAGTATTCTTTCTATTTTTATTTTTTTGTTAGATTTTCAAATTCTAGAATCGAAGGAAATCAGATCTTTGTCATCTTTAAGTTATATTCCCTTCGCACTACATATAGTCCGAAGGGAACATTAAAAAATATTTTCTATTTTTTATATTTTAAAATATTAAAATTCACCTCTAGTCCAACGCCAATCTGACAGTTGGAGTCTACAAGGCAATTGTTCAGGCAAAACAGAATGGTGAGTGATAAGCATAGGGAGTGATTGAAAATGGCGTTTTGAGCCCTTTTTAATTTTTTTTTAATTAAAAAAATTTTTTTAATATTTTAAGATTACCCTAATTCTAAACCCATGCACATTTCGAATAATTAAATAATTTGCGATTCCTCTTTTTCGGGTAATTGTGCCATCTATGGGTTCTGGCACACGCATGGTTAGTGCTAGACATCTAAATTAAATAAAAGAATTTTCAGAATATTTTTCAAAATTTTTTAAAAAATTTCGGAATTTTTTTCAGAATTCTTTCAAAATTTTCAGAATTTTTTTAATATTTCAGAATTTTTTCCCAGAATTTTTTTCCAAAAATTTATTTTGAATTTTTTTCAAAATTTTTTATTTCAGAATTTTTTTTTCAGAATTTTTCAGAATTTTTTTCAGGATTTTTATCAGAATTTTTCAGAAATTTTCAAAAATTTTTTCAGAATTTTTCAGAATTTTTTCAGAATTTTTCAGAATTTTTTTCAGGATTTTTATCAAAATTTTTCAGAAATTTTCAAAAATTTTTTCAGAATTTTCAGAATTTTTTCAGAATTTTTCAGAATTTTGAAAAATTTTCCCCCTACCTCCGCCTACTGCCAGATAATCGAAGCATAAAATGGCCGGGAGGCATTAGACAAAGCTGGTTGATAACATAATCTCTTTAAATTGAAATTTAATTATTTAAAAGATAAATTTTTAATTACTTTTCATTAGGCCTGCAAAAATAAGCAAGACGCTCCAACTCATCGCGCATGCACTCTCCCAAGGGATAAATCCATTCTTTTCTGAAAATAAAGAAAATCAGAAGAAAAATCAGAATTTTAATAATTTAAATGACCAGAATATTAATTTAAAAATCAGAATATTTTTTCAAAAATCAGAATTAATTATTAATAAGAAAAAATCAGAATTAAATTTCAGAAGATTATTTTAAAACCAGAAGAAAAAAATCAAAATTTTACTGTGTACAAAAATCAGAAACATATAGAAAATCAGAATTTTAATAATTTAAATAATGAGAATTTCATTAAAATACAGAATCAGAATTTAAAAATAAAAACAAAAATAGAAATACAAAATACAAAAATCAGAAAAGAAGATCAGAATTTGAATAATTTAAAAAATCAGAATATTAATCAGAATTAAATTTCAGAAAATTATTTTAAAAATCAGAATATTATATAAAAATCAGAAGAAAATGCAAGCTTCTGAAAAAATACAAAAATCAGAAATACATTAATAACAGAAATACAAAAAATCAGAATTTTAATAATTTTAATAATCAGAATATTATTTTAAAAATCAAAATTAAGAATCAGAAAAAAAAATACAAAAAATCAGAAAAATACAAAAATCAGAAAAAATACAAGAATCAGAACTTTAATATTTAGACGACCAGAATATTATTTTAAAAATCAGAATTAAAAATACAAAGTCAGAAAGGAAATACAGAAATCAGAAATAAATAACAAAAATACAAAAAATCAGAAATACAAAACAGAAGAAAAAATACAAGGCCAGAAAGAAATACAAAAATGAGAAAATACAAGAATCAGAAAAAATACAAAAATCAGAATTTGTATTTTCCCTAAAATTAATTTTAAATTAAATTCTGAAAAAAATACACAAATCAGAAATACAATAAATAAAAAAACACAAAAAAACAGAATTTGTATTTTCCTTAAAATTAATTTAAATTCTGAATAAATACAAAAATCAGAACTTGTATTTACTCTATTTAATTACAAATATTCTGAAATAAATACAAAAATCAGAATTTGTATTTCACTTATTTAATTTAAAATCTGAAAAAATATAAAAATCAGAATTTGTATTTTCCTTAAAATTAATTTAAATTCTGAATAAATACAAAAATCAGAACTTGTATTTCACTTATTTAATTTAAAATCTGAAAAAATACAAAAATCAGAATTTGTATTTCACTCTATTTAATTTAATTCTGAAAAAAATACAAAAATCAGAATTTGTATTTACCTTATTTAAATTTAATTCTGAAATAAATAAACTTACAGCCTTTCATCATAGACCAATTCAGAATTTCCATCTCTACTATGCCTCTCATTATAAATAGGCATTTGATGATAATAATTATTTGGGTAAATATTATTTGTATTATTATATCCATTATTATACCCCCAATTTTGTTGTTTTAGGGGTAAATTTGTTTCAAAAAAATTTCCAGAAGAGATGGAAGGAAAATTTAAATTGTAACATGAAGCTTCTTTTTTGGGGGGCAATTGGAATACTTGAGGCTTTGAGGAAGTAAAATAATTGCTGCTAGTAGGTGTATACGGAGGAGTTTGTTGCTGCTGTTTTTTAGGGGTAGGGGAACACGTAGAAGTTGAGTTAAATGAACGGAGAGGGGTTAAAGGCCATCGAGGTTTGCGAAAGTGGGCTGAAATTGGGGGAAAATAAATTTTGAAAAATTTTAAAAATTTTTTTCATATTTTTAGTTGGACCTCTTTATAAGACGCCCTTTAAGGCTGGAAAATTTGTAGCTTATAATGAGGTATATTAAATAGAGGGCATCCTTAGGCAGCTCGCCCCGTTCAAACAAGAAAGTAGGGTGGAGGGAACACGTACCGTTCGGACTAGTTTTCTGCGGTTCTGAAAATCATATCTCATGCCTCGTTCGGATGCCTCGTTCGGAGGCGTTCGAGGTAGGCTTAAGAAAACATGCCCATTACATATTAGCAGACCCAATGGCTAACTAACCTTCAAAAATCATATCCAAAATAGAAGTGTATCTAGCAGGGGTGTGCGAGTTTCGCATTTCGCGTTTCGCATTTCGCGGACTTTCGCGTTTTTTGGACTTTCGCCTTTCGTCTTTCGCCTTTCGCGTGTCGCTTTTTTTAATGACTTTCGCTTTTCGCATTTCGCGTTTCGCATTTCGCGGACTTTCGCGTTTTTCGTACTTTCGTCTTTCGCCTTTCTAGTGTCGCCTTTTTTAAATGACTTTCGCTTTTCACATTTCGCGTTTCGCTTTTTAAAATCCGTTTCGGCACACCCCTGGTATCTAGTATTGGACATCTTATAATGAGGTCCGAATGTACCTATTATTCATATTTCTTATTTAAATTTTATTAAAAAATTATAAATAATAGACCAGCTTCCCCATTCTGTAAAGACGTTGGAGTAGCTAACAATTGTTTCCTTTGTTCATTAATTAAAGGACTATTTTTATTATTTCGTAGTTGTTTTTGCTTCTTTTTGGGAGTGCCTCCAAATATTTTTTGAATTAACGAAGAGGTGGAAATTGTAAGCATTTGGGAGCGGCTGCGTTCGAGGAAACCGATGGAGGCGATTTTGTTCTGTAAAATTTTAAAAAAAATTTTTAATAGTGAGAAACTGCTAGGAACCCTCTAGCATTTCCTCACTGGAGAGGAGGAAGTGCTAAAATAAATCAGCGATTTTTCAAATAAATTAAATTCCGGGTAAACTGAACAGGCCAGTTCAGTGCGGCGGTTGAGTGTCAGCTTTGAAAGACTAGCCAGCTTTGATCGACCATAACTTTTTTATTCCCGATCTGATCCGAATGTGTCTTATATCATTCGAAAGCCCTCGAATAGCGCTATCTTTTACCTAATTGGATGGATCAAGTCTGACCACTTTCTAGAAAGTTATAACCCGATTAGTGTAAAAAACGCCAAATACTTGCACTTATCGAGTTAATCTCTATAAATGTGAAATGACTTGATCCATTCAGTAGGAAAAAGATGCCGCTTGTTGAGGGCTTTGGAATGATATAAAATTTATTCGGATTAGAAAAGGCATAAAAAAGTGTCTGGCCGTCAAAGACGTCTGGCCTAACTACTTCCTCTAGTGGGAGTTATAAACGTTGTTAGTTAAAAATTCGATAAAATTGTGTGGAAAGCCCCAATCTGTGATATCAAAAATTAATTTCATATCCATATCAATAATTTCCTCCTATAACCCTGGGTCCTTATATCCAGTTTTCTAATACTAAAATTAAATTACAAATATAGCTAGGGTTTGTGGCCTAAAAATTAATTTCCTATTCGTATTTGTTTAATAAGCCAGAATTCCTATATCCTGCTTTCTAAATATAAAATTAAATAAAAATTTATGGGAGTACTAGTTTATGAGTCCAAGCAAAAAATAATGGGCGTAGGTCCCATGGGCGTAGGTCTCGAACATTAAGAAATGTTTTGGAACCATACCCCAACTTTGCAACCCCAAGAAGAATCCAATTATTTTTTATTGGACTAATAAACTAGACTAGAGTCCAAAATTGTTTGGCTCTTTGGCCATAAAATTAAAAAAAATTTTCCACCTTTTTATTATTTTTCAAAGGACATTGAGTAACATAATCAGACCCTTCAGCATCCACGCAAGCAAAAAAATTTTGCTTTTGTAAGGATAGAGGCGACGTGGCGACGTCCCTAACACTTGTAGTTGAAGTAATAATTTGTCTTCTAGGGGGAGAAGTTGGGCTTAAATTTTAAAGGGGAATTTTGAAAAAATTCTGGGAGGGGGTTTAACAAGTAATTCACCTATTGAACATTTGAATTGAATTTTTTTCAAAATTATTTTGCTGTTGGAATAAGGAGGAAAGTGCAAATTCGATTTCTTCTACCTGTGAAAAATTAGGAGAAAAAATAGTTTTTTAACTAAAAAAATTTTTTGAAATTTTTTGAAATTTTTTTTTGAAATTTTTTGAAAATTTTCGGAAATTTTTTGAAAATTTTCGGAAATTTTTTGAAAATTTTCGGAAATTTTTTGAAAATATTTTGTAAATTTTTGAAATTTTCTAAAAAAATTTTCGAAAATTTTTTGAAAATTTTTTAAAAATTTTCGAAATTTTTTTGAAATTTTTTGAAAATTTTTGAAAATTTTTTTGAAATTTTTTGAAAATTTTTAAAAAATTTTTTTTAATTATTTAAGAATTTTTTAAGAATATTTTTAAGATTTTTTTTTTAATTTTTACTTAAAAAATTTTTAAAAAAAATCTTTAAAAAAATTTTTTTTCACTTAAAAACAAAATTTACTTCAAGTGCAGTTTTTGTTCTAAAAACATGGCATTGTTTTCTATAATTAATTCTGTGGTGGTTGTTATTCAATTGCCGCTCGCGTGTAATATAAGCTAGCTGATTAGTTTCTACACGGGCTACAACACAACAAATTTTGCTTATATGATGAGTCAGAAAGACAATCTAAATGAGAAAATAAATAAGATTAATTAAAAATAAAAATGAATAAAAATAAAGAATATTTTGAAATTAAAAAATTTCTGGGTATTTAAAAAACATTTTAAATTAAGGGAAAATACAATTTATTTGGAATAAACACAAATAAATAACGCGAGAAATAAATAATAACACAAAAATGCATAAATAAAATTATTCCGGAAAAGTATTTAGTTATACCGTATTTTCTCGATTAATTCCCCTGGGGAATTATTTTTTCAACCTATCTCTGGCAGGGGGAATTAATCGAGGGAGGGGAATTAATCGAGAAAATACGGTATGTATTTTTCCGGAATAATAAAATTATTAAATTGAAAGAAAATCGGCTTTGAAATTATATAAATAAAATACAAACATTTCCGAAAAATACACAAATAAAAAAATTGTGAGAATAAAATATATTATATTTCCGGAAAATACAAACTCATATCCATAGAATAAAATACATATTATTATATATCCGGAAAACACATATAAGCATCCGGAAAATACATAAACTTTCCGGAAAATACAAACTCAAGAGTTATACTTAAATTTATAATATATTATTTTCCGGAAAGCTAAGACGGAAAATACAAAAAAATACAAGACTTAACGGAAAAATACAAACTCATAAGAGTTATAACTTTAATTTTATAACAGGTATATCTGTATTTTTCGGAAAGCTTATTTTTGTATTTTCCGCATGTTTATATGTATTTTCCGGTTATATTTTATTTGTATTTTACACTGTATTTTTCCATAAAAGTTGTATTTTATTTGTATTAAGTGATTTTTAATCGTGTGAAAGATTAATCTATTTTTAATTAAAAGTTTATAATAGTGTTTATAATTGACAAATATTTTCGAAAAAATTCTTTTTAGCATTACACACATACTAAAAGTTACTATTAGTATATTTTTCAAATTTTGTTTTGTTTACCCTCGGGAATCAAAAGTCATTCATCCCCCTTTTCTCCCACTCTTTCCTTTAAAATTTCAAAAAATTCCCTTAAAATAATATTTTTAAAGGTGAATTGCTTTTTTATAGTATTGTTGGGAATTTTTAAAGATTTTATAAATAGATAAAAAAATATTTCTCATGAAACTTTTTAAAAAAGATTTTAGCAAATATTTGCAAAAAAATGTTTAAATAATTAATTAAAAAGAAATTAATTTTATTTTCTTCTTTCCGGAAAATTTCGAAAAATACGAAAAATAATGAATCACGAAAATACGAAATTAAAAATACAAATACAGTAAAAATACAAATAAAAATACAAAAAAATACAAATAAAAAAATAAAAATACAATAACAAAATACAAAATATACGCAATTCCGGAGAAAAGAAGATTCCGGAAAATATATAACTATAACAACAATAATGTTTAATTTATTTTCCGGAAATTATATTTATGGACAAATATAAAATATAGTTTTCCGGAAAAAATATTAATTAACCAAAAAATATCCGGAAAAAATATAACCATAAAAAATATAACCATAAAAAATATTCATATCCGGAAATTATAGTTACGGAAGAAACAAAATTAGTTTTCCGGAAAAATATTAATTAAATACAAACACATCCTGAAAGAATATAACTCTAAAAATATTTATTTTCAGAAAACCGTATACTTCCGGAAAAAATATATAATTTAGTTTTCTGGAAAAAATATTAATTAAATAAAAAAAATTCCGGAAGTAATATAACTATAAAAAATATTTATATTCCGGAAACTACATATATTTACGGAAATATATACAATATAGTCTTAGGAAAATAAATTTTCCGGAAACTATACCTTTCAGGAAAAGAAAATGCAAATATTATTTAAATCTAAAAAAATTCCGGAAAGAACATAACTCTAAAAAATATTTATTTTCAGGAAAGATATAAAATATAGTCTTCCGGAAAAAATATTAATTAAATAAAAACACATCCGGAAAGAATATAACTCTAAAAAATATTTATTTTCCGGAAACTAGTATTTCAGGAAAATAAAATACAAATATTATTTAAATCTAAAAAAAATTCCGGAAAGAACAGAACTATAGAAAACACTAAAATTTAATCTTCATAAAATACTTTCCGGAAATTAAATATACTTCCGGAAAATTTATAATTTTATGTTTATTAAAAATTATTTTAAGCGGTATTTTTGCTTGAATAAAACGCAAAAAATTATGAGTTTAAAAAAAAATTTTTTTGAAAAACTTCAGAAAATTTTAACCCAAATTTGTATTGATTAAAAATTTATGCAAAAAATTTCCTTTGCATGTTAAATTATTTATTTATTTAATTTTGCATTTTTGTATTATTCTTTTTAAGCCTAAAGGGATGAATAAAAAAAAATAAAAATTGTAAAAATACCCTCAAATACCCTCACAGAGTCTCTTCACTTCCCTTCAATTCGCCTCTTATAAAATCCATCAAAATGCGTGTGCATTTTGAAGAGGAACGAAAAAACGGACTTAAAACGACTGGCATTTGTGCATAAATTATTTAGAAGGGACTGGGCCGTTTTGGCGCGGGGCCGTTTTGGCGCGAGCTTATAAGTTAGCGAGTTGTTTATCAAAAATGATAGGATTTTGTGATAATGACTCTCGTACCTTCACCTAAGTTCTCCAAAAATTTCAGAATTTTTGCGCAAGAATTTTAGAAATTATGGCCCCAGAACTGTTGATTTTCTGAAAAATGCCTAATTTTTCGAGGTCTATCGACTATAACTTCAGAAATATTCGATAAAAAATTCTGAAATTTCTGGAGGAGGTAGTCGAGGATGTTAAAGAAATTTGAGAAAATTTTTAAGAATTTTGGTTTCGCCTAAGTGCCAGTTTTTAGTTCCCGCGCCAAAACAACCCGGCGCCAAAACGACCCTAACCTATTTAAAAAGGACAGAAAAAGTATAAAAATAAAATTTTCAAAAAAAAGACATTTTTGAATAAAAATAGAAAAAAAATAAAATAAATGCCAAGACATCAAAACCCCGAAAAAATAAATTTTTTATTTATTTTTAGTATTGAGGGAAGGAGTTTGGGGTGGGAATATTTAAATAGCTTCGATTCTTGAGGATATTATTGTCTTCAAGAAATTTATGTAAATATAAGAATGTAAAAGAATTTGAATTTTGTGTTTGTTGTTATTTTAGATAGCTTAA